CGGGGCGGCGGACAAGGGGACCCCGGCGGCCGGGAAAGCCGGTGGTGAGAGCGGCACTGCCAAGGGCAGCGAGGAAGCCAAGGGCCGCTTCCGCGTGAACTTCGTGGACCCGGCTGCCTCGTCGTCCGCGGACGACAGCCTGTCGGATGCGGCGGGGGTCGGAGGCGACGGGCCCAACGTGAGCTTCCAGAACGGCGGGGACACGGTGCTGAGCGAAGGCAGCAGCTTGCACTCGGGCGGCGGCAGTGGACACCATCAGCAGTACTACTATGACACCCACACCAACACCTACTACCTGCGCACCTTCGGCCACAACACCATGGACGCGGTGCCCAGGATCGACCACTATCGGCACACGGCTGCGCAACTGGGCGAGAAGCTGCTCCGGCCCAGCCTGGCAGAGCTCCACGATGAGCTGGAAAAGGTGAGCTCGCCCAGACCCTCCTCCCTTCCCATGCCCTGGTGCGTGCTGGCCTCAGGATGCAGCCGCTGACTCTCCCTGGTGAGGTGGCAGCACTGGACCCGAGGAGCGACTCGCTGGCATCTCTGGATTCAGCTGTCAAGTGTGGAATTGCAGCGGAATGTAACTTAATCCTTCAAAAGTTTGCAGCGGGTTAGGCTGGTTACGCGATACAGCAGAGGCAGCACTTAGCAGCCTTTCCCATCCAGTTATATGGCTTGTGTGCCCTGTCTTTTTTCACCCCGTCTTGACAGTGTGTCACCTCTCTGAGTTACGCATGTGTTTATAGAGCTCAGAGAAAGGAGTGTGGAGGAGGTTTAGAAGAGGTTCTCTCTTGGGACAGGGTGGAGAGAACCTACTACCATCTGGGTCCTTTTTAGATTGTAGTGTATGGCTTATGTATATCCATTAGGGATCCAGAGTGGAAAGGTTGGTGTTTGAAGGAAAATCCTAATAGCATGTATTTGTAGTCTATTAATTATTAAAGCCCAGTTTTTGCAATCTTGAGTATGCAGAGGACTATAGAAATCTTTGGTTCTTTTCTTCCTTTTTTTTTTTTTTTTTTTAAAGATAGGGTCTCTGTGTATAGCCCTAATTGTCCTAGAGCTTGCTATATTGCCAGGCTGGCCTTGAACTCACAGAGATCCACCTGCTTCTGCTTTCCAGCACTAGGATTAATTTGCCAACATGCCTGGAGACTATAGAAATCTCAGATCTTGGGAAAAGTTGTGCCTGATAAGAGCATGACCCTGTTTGTTTGTTTGTTTGTAATGTACACTTTTTGAAAGAGGGCTCCGTCATTGCTGGGTGGTGATAGAGAGATGGCTCAGAAGCGAAGAACACTTGTTGCTCTTGGGGCGAACAGGGAGGGTTCAGTTTGCAGCACCCACATCCTGTAACTCCACTTCCAGGGAAATTCTATGCCTTCTGACCTTGGTAGGCACCAAGCATGCATGTGGTGTATGTCCAGGCATGCAGGCAAAACATGCATACACATAGAATATTTACAAGAGGGTTGTATTTCTAAAAAATGGCGTGGATGAGTCTTTAGAGAAAAAAGGAAACACAGGAATTTTATTTTATTTTCTTCCCCTTGAGGATGTCCAGAAAAATAGTCTGGAGTCTTTTTGTGCAAGCCTTTTCCTTTATAAACAGAAAACCCTTCTCGTACATTCTTACTGGCTTTTCCTTCTGTTTTTTATGGCCTCATAAGGCTTTTATTTCCTCAGGGTTCAGATAATTATTTGAAGATAACATTGATGCTTTTGAGAGCTGATTAATATTTAACTTTTTTATGAGTCGAATTACTTGACATCTGCCTCAGCAAGTCTATAATGGAATTTTATGACTTCAGAGTTGGTACCACACAGGTCGAGAGGATCAGTGTGAAGAAGTTTATGTGATTTGTTTTGACTGTGATGGTTTGATCTCATACATTCGTGTCTTCTAAGATTGCACTTGTCCTAGTGTTTGATAAAGTAACTATCACCGTTTGAAGTAAGTGCGTAGGTCCCAACCCTTACAAGCTTATGGATTGTTTAAAAGATTGGCGTCATTTAGCCTTAGATAATACTACTTCCCTTCTGTTGTTGTATTTTGTCATATCAGAAGCTAAACACTTCCTGAAACATTTATTCACAGTTAGGTTTTTTTTTTTTCCTTCATATCCATTCTTTTTTTCTTTATAGGCTCAAGTAGAAATGGAGTTGATGAACAATATTTTATTGGAGCATTTTTAGTATTCATAATTTTTATACAAACACATTTCAGATTTATTTCAGTAAAGCCAAATTTAGCAGTATACCTATAAGTTGTAGAATTTAAATTGAAAGGTGTCACATTTTTGAAAATTTTTGTTGTTCTCATTTTGTGAGTAATAGTACACTTCAAGTCCCCTAAGGCTGAGTTTGGTTTGTGTGTGGCTTGTAGCTTGGGTTCTGGTGTTTTTGCCCAGTTTAGAGCATCTAAAAAATAGACAGATTATCGGTTATGTGGTAGTTGAAAAAGTCACCTGATCCCTCAACCTCAGCTTCCTCAGCTTTCAAGATTATTGTAAAAATTAAAGAAGAAATGCAACAGATATAATGGACCATGGCCGTGCTAAGTTCTTGGAATATTGCTATTGTGGTTCTTATTTTATCTTGCATTGACTCCTCAAGGTACAAGGCTAAACTCCTCAGATTTCAGTTTTAGACTCTCTTAATTACATCACCAGATGCATAAGTTTATAAAATGCTCGATTCAGAGTCGCAATTGTGCAATGAGTATCGTAATGAATTCTTCAGTTTTATCTTCCATAGCACATGCTAGAGAGATGCTATTCACTGAGGTGGGCCCCCGGCCTCTACTCAAATTCCGTATAGCGACCAGAAGTCCTTGATGGTGTTAACTAACTAATTAGCAAATATGAAGATAATTGCAGCAAGTGGGTTAAATACCTGCCATGTTGAATAGTACAGAAATGCTGCTCGGTACTGTAGGAGGCGCAGGCAAAGGTGTAACACACATGACGACGGGGTTCTCTGACTGGATCTCCACAAGTTGTTCCTCATCCATAGTGATTGACAGAAACTTGAGTGCTGTTAGCCCTTAGTTAATAATGATACCTAGAATTTCTGTGATGCTCTCGTATTTGATTGTCATATGCTGTGTGTGCTCTGGTGGCCGAGTGCTGTACTATCCATGAAGTGTCTAAGGCAGGTCTAAGGAACGGGTGCTCAGGATGATGGCAGATGAGAGGGAGATGAGAGGGGAGATGCTCTGCAAACTTCCTGGGAAAAGGACGAGGCCGTCTTTTGGTCCCTGGCCTTTTCAGACTGTCTCCCCAAACATCCAACTGCAGGAGAATAAATAATACCCTTGCTGTGTTAGGGGCCCTTCTAGAAAGAAGGCTGGTGGCTCTCCAGTTAGGAGCTGTTGGCTGGGTAAGGGTGACAACTGTCGTCCACAGTGCTCTGGAACTCTGGGATGATGGATGGTGAGTGAGGGGCAAGTCAGATGCTGTGTCTGCTTGCACAGACATAAAACAAATGAAAGTTATTACTAACATAACAAATAATAGTTTGTTTTTTCCAGTGCAATGAAAGGAAACATCACCAATCAGGATATAAAAACCCACTTTTAACTGGGCTTTGGGAGGAAATAAATGTGGCATTGAGGCTGAGACCTGAATGATAAGTCGATGGGTAGAATGACATTCCAGAACAAAGACTGTATTTATAAAGGTAGTGAGGAGAAAAGTGCTATGTTCATGTAGCAAACATTGAAGGCCAGAATATTTTACTGTAAATGTAGTGGGAAGCTGTTGAGGGATTCTGTGTGATAGAGTACACGGTCTCTTTTATTTGAACATCTTTGCTGGCCCTAGAAGGTGTTCTAAGGTGTGACTGGAAATGAAATCTTAAACTGTTGGCCTGACTTAGAAATTCTAAGGATTTGTACAGAACAGATTAGAAATGAGAAAGGCCAACTCCCAGGTTTTGGACTTGAGTAATTGAATAGTGGGCTGGGGTTCTGCTCCCTGACTTGGAAAAGACGGAAAGTGGAATGGATTTGGTGTGATGAGGAGATTTCTAGTTGTATTCTTTGTAAGACACCTTACTCTGAGAGTCACGGAGTGTGGCAGAAAGTTTGTGTGCGTGCGTGTGTGTAAGTGGAGGAAGTACCTTA